GGCTGTGGCGAGCGTTGGGGCGGAGAGCCCCAGCAGAGCTCTCTCCGGCCAGGAGCCGTGAAAGGCTGCTGGAAAGCAAAGCTGTATTAAAAGTGCATAACGCCGTTGCGGCTTAGGAACTGATCTTGAAATGATGCTAGTTCACAACTAAGACCCTGCTACTGTAGGAGTAAAAATCTCAGCGATAGTGCTACTTCATGCAAAGTAGTGCTATCAAATATGACACAGACACAGTTTAAGAAAAAATTTACTAATCCATTAGTACTTCTGCCAATGTTGCAACAGATGTGAAAGGCAAACACTATTACAGTTTAGAAAAAACAAGTTTTATACAATTAAAATATTAAACAAATCTCAAAAAAAAAAAAAAAAAATCGGTGGCTGAACCTACAGTACCACCAAAAGCCGAAACACTCGATCTGTTCTGCATTAGTCTTCTCCTTTTCGCTGAATAATAAGCCTGGAATTTCAGATCCAGTATTAGCACCTACAGTACCACCAAAAGCCGAAACACTCGATCTGTTCTGCATTAGTCTTCTCCTTTTCTAAATTCTTTAATTCCTTCTACAATTGGACAACGACACTCAGAACCTAAACCAGGACATCCTTGCTTTGATAAAGGAAAAGGTTACAGGAGAAAAATATTAAGCCAGCTTGGTTTGTAGGAAGTTTACTTTTGCAGGTATTGCTGAGGAGGGTCGATGCATGGGGGATACTAAATAATGCACAGTTCTACTTTTCAATAGTGTGCCAGCAGATAGATTAAGAAACCATCTTACACAACATCTAAGAGTTTGTCAAATCAATGTTTTCCTATAAATTATATATAATAAATCCATAAAGAAACAGTTTTACACTTCACATTAATCAGAGTAGGGTAGGAATTGTTATGTTTATTGGTTCAGCATCCATTTTATTGTACTTACTGTTTTATGAGTGAATAGACCCCCTCTTCTGGTGAGCACTGACAGATGCAATAATAGCACAGATACAGTAGTAGAAAAAACACCAGTATTAAAGTCTGGCTATTCCTCCCCCTTCTAGGAACAACCAAAACATTAAAACAAGTAACACTTTGCCTTCTGGTTTTCCACAAGAATCAACACAGGAAACGTAAAACGCTTGTTGCCTTGAGTCACTTCTTGCCAGGCAGAGGCACTGTGTATCCCCTCACTCCAATCCTGAACTGGAGGGAAGGCCTCATTTCTGGAAAATTCCCAGCTCTGACTTGTAGCTTTCCAAAGCCCGATTGATGAACAGGAGGGTTTAAGAACTACGGAGGAACAGCACTGCACTTACGTGACTAAAACTAGACTTCTGTTGGGCTAAGCGCCCCATTTCTTTCAGAAGAGTACGTAGCTTTACCACTTCTGCTTTTTCTTGAAGAAAGAAAAAAAAAGAAAACCAAAACCTAGAAAGTGATTTCATTGCTTAAAAGTTTGCCACAAAATGGATGCTGACCAGCTAGGTCACCCCATGTGGAGCAGTTTTAGGAAGTTAGTCCTTGTTGTAGATGGCACTGTGGATCTGGCAGCAGAGAAAGGAATGATGCTCTAAAGTAGGAGGTAGGGGAACTTCGATACAGCAAGTCCACTGTTGTGCTATCTGCTAAAAAAGAAGTTTCATATTATTAGAAACTATTACTAAATATAACAAACAAAACCCTACACAAGCCTTTACATAGCTATATTTGTTATCTTAGGAGGTATGTAGCAGAAAAGGTAGGATTACCATGTGCTGTGGTGAGAGTAGCATAACAGAAGCCAACACTCTGGATTTTTTTGTCTAACAGGAAATAAAGACCTTTACTTCTTTGTTTCTTTCTGCAGAACAGGCATAAATATTTCCAATCTTTTTTCTGCACACATTGCCAACAACCTAGACTTAGACTACCATCCCAGGATCTGCAGAGTACCTGAGACAGGGGAGCCAGTTCAAATTTGAGCTTTTCAAAAGCAAAGCTTAATGAAACTTCAATAGTTTCATTTTGGAAACCCAGGGATAGTAATTTTGCAGTTCTATACTGCATGCAATTAGCATGATCCTTTATTTTAGCCTCTCTCTTTCAAATACTCTGAGCACTCTTTTCACTTTGTGACTCTGCCACCCAGTATCGTGAAAACTAAGTGCCTTTCAGCAACTTTTTCCAGTTAAAGCTATCAAAGCTAGAGGTTGCTGGCCACTCTTAACTGAAAGCATAACGAGTAAAGATACTGCAGTGAGAACTAGAACAGCATCCAGCTGAAAAACTGCAATAAAAAGTTTTTGTATGCTAGAATACACTCAGGGACAGAGTCATGCAAAGATTTTTCCACTTAAAATGATTGGGTAGGTTAAGATCTCAAATGCAGTAGCAGAACTCAAGAGTTCCTCTGAATTTACACAGGTGTTGCAGAGACCATGAGAAGTCCTAAGATATGCCACCTATTCCTAGCCAGAGTCATATCCTCTCCCACTACACAGGACAGAAAGACAGTCCACATTTTGTAGAGACCATGTAGGCTGCATTCTTGAACAGATCATCCAGGATAGTGTGCAGGCTCCAAATGACTAGGTTACAGTTGAGGAGATGAATACCTAATAAAGTTCCAGTTCCAGATCAGGCTTACTGGGGTACTCATACTGCTTTCAAAACAGACGTTCACTGACCACAAATATTTGCAATTCATCAAAATATCCAGAACTTCATGATACAAGTCTTTCTTCATTTTAGAAATTTCAGTTGTTTGAACACTGACAGAACTAGCTTTTATGTAATTGCTCAAAACCCACATCACCTATGAAAACATCCTGCAATAATTGCTGTGACATGAGTCATGACAAATGGCTTGTGCCAAATATATGCAGATGCAGTTGATAAAGCACAAACTTATTTCAACAGCAGAACGCAAGTGCCATGCAATACAACAGATTCTCAAGTGCTAAAACCAGATAAGGAAGGATATTTTGAGACAGAATTGGCATCTACAAGCAATGCCAAGTTGACAAGCCAGAGTTGTTTAGAAACAGGTATGCATCGGCAAGATCTTCACCATTTTGCTTCACCAGAACTTCTTGTCATGGTTTGCTCCAGCCTGCAGTAGATTAAGCTGGTTTACATGCAGTGTAAATATGGGTCAATCATAAGTGGACTACCAAAAGAGAAATCCTGGAGACATGTAGCAGAGGCATGTTAGATAAAGCACTGAAAGAATTTAGTAATACTACCAAGTAAGTTACTTGCATTTTCCCTTTAGGCTGTGTAAGATTTGACTCTTAGAATATGTCATATTCCAAGATTCAGCACAGCAGATAAGATATACTGTATAAATACAGTATATCTTATCAAATGTTTCTGAGCAGAAGAGGTTTGGAAGAATCCCACCACTTGGCACATGAAACCAAAGTGTCACCCCAGGCAACAGTAGCTCTCTGTTCAGTCCCTTCTGGAACAGAAAAGCTGCCATTCAACAGTATATAGAAGTGAATCTTCTATATACTTAGAACCAAGAAGGTAAAATGTAATTACTCACATCGATTTGTTCAGGATTCTGAGGCTAATAACATTGACTTCTAGGCAAAATACAAGGGGATCCTTAACATGCTGTGGTTATGACCTTGATTTCACAAGTGCTTGAAACTTGGAAGCTTTTAAAATAGACCCTCGTCTGAGGTACCATGGAAAACATTCAAAAGGAAAAGCTGTATCTTTCACAGCAGTATAGGAAGAGCAGGTGCCAGTACAGCACCATCAACGATTTTTCTTGAATATTACTCTCTCATGCTATTAGTCTGAAAACTGTTTGGAGATCCAAAATAAGCATTTAAATAGTGACCTATTTTAAAGTCGAGATTTAAGAGTTAGTCTTAAGTTTGTCTGCTCGGAACCTTATGACAGAAAAACTTCAAGAGAATAAAAGAAGATTTTTATCTACAGAACAGAGAACGATTTTGGACATAATACAGCACAATACAGGTTTAATGCATATTTACACAATCCAGACCCGAATTTCTCTGAAGGTAAATCTGGTATCATCTGATCTGTATTAACATTCAGTGGTATAATGCCAAGTATTGATACTTCTACTTATTCAGAAAACCTAGCCCACACAAGATACATGTGAACAGCCTTTGATTATATACAGTGGTGGGATAAACATTCTGTCTCAGTATGACAGAATCTACCCCTCTGAGCACAGAAAACAGGTTGAGATTGATCTAGTATACGGTTAACATTGTACCTGAGACTCCACAGTTTTATCTTCCGCTGGTCATACCTCTGTCTTCATAAATGGTAATTTCAATCTGCACAGAAAAGCTGTTAAGAAAACATACTATAAAAAGATTATGAAAATGAAAAAAAAAAGTGGAAAAACATTAAGATATTAGAACCTTGGATCTTTCTGCTTCGTACCTGCTCTTTCAAGGCTAGTTTCAGGCTACAAAGCAAACAGAACAGTACACATAAGAGATGCCCGGTCAGGTCAGATCAGTGGTCTATCCAGCTCAGGACTGTTCTGACAACAAGAACAGAAGATGCTGTGCACGGAGGGTCTGTGAGCCTTGCCACCTTCTGTTAAATTTCAGGAACAGCTATGCACTAGACAAAAGTTAACACTTCTACAGTTCAGCTACTAAGTCACTAACCAAACTGAAAATGCTTTTACTCAAGTTGAATGTTTTTTTTTCCAGGAGGTGTATGCATAGAAAAATGTGGAAAACATATTGAGTATAATGAAGTCGCGTAGGTGACAGCTATAAACTATTTAGAGAAATACACAGATAACCCAACTGCAAGGAATTAGCCTTACCATGCATTTAATTGGCATTCTGTGTTTCAAGTTGCTTTGGTTTCAACATTCTCAAAAAATGATACGTGTTACTCATTCTATCCCTAGATTTGCTATGTGACGTCTTTACAACTGCTAAGGTAATAACTAGATAAAATGCCTGTAGTGTGGTTCAAGAGTTGGAAGAAAAAAAAAAAGATTAAAATAAGCCATGCTAGAACCAAGAGCAAGTGCTAGGCTGGTATCAACTTATAGTGATGTCATATGGCGAAATCTTCAGAACCTGAGCTGAGGGTTGCAAATTAAACAGCCATGTCTTGCTTTCATGTTATCAATTTCTATCCTATCAAGTTGGTCACTTTTTTCCAGTTGGACAAACTGGATTTGTAGAGGTCATCAAAATAGAGGAAGCATCTAAAGTGTTGGAAGTACTCTGTTTATACATATGCATTTTCAAGGAAGTCTCAAAGGACAGATTCCAATACTGCATTTTTATTGTTTTTTGATGTGACAAATCCTAATGTACTAAAATCTGACCAGAGAACAGTACACAATGGAGAGTAACAAGACTAATCACATATTCTGCCGTATCTCAGATCAAGCATGACAAGAGGGTGCCATACTGAGATAAACAGGTAGCACATCATAGATGGACAAACCAGGAGACGGTCTAAGAAACCACAGAAGGATACAACTCTTAGTCCTCTTTCAATGGGGTCTGTCAGAAGGAGGCCCTGAGGAGCATAGATCTTCTCATTCTGTTCCTGAATGAACTTGGCAATTTTCTTTAGAACCTGGTAATAGAACAGCACAGAAGTCACAGTTCCTTAATCAGGTTTCCCTATGTTAGAGTCAGAACCCCAGCAACATCACAGATATAGCAATGTTAGGAGAGCCTAGCACACAGCTAGAGACAGAACTTGCATGATTCCTCTGAAGTACAAGCAATCACTATGTTACTCAAATTGACTAATATAGACAAGTCTGTCTGATGTATATGTGAAATCACTCTGCAGTAAGATCCAGAGTCTATATGTAGTTTGTACGACAATGGTGCAAGTCACAGAAATCCTACCAAGAAATAAGTCTTAGCCTGAAGGTCTATGAGACATACTGCCTTCCAAGTAACAAGGTAAACAAGAGAAGTGCACCTTTTCATAATGCGTTTCCATGCACAAGAAGATGGTATAGGCAGTCAGACAGGCGAGACACCCTTCAAGGTAAGACTGGCCCCCAAGTTTTTCAGCTTCTGCATAGAGGTTATTCAGTGTTCGGACAGTCTCTTCAAACTGCTGCCTATCAATCTGCAAGAGAAGTCAAGTTTAGCTGTCATGCCCTGCACATTTCAGAACTCACCGGTATCGTCAGATATCTGCCTTCATTTATTGCTTATTTGCACTCCCACGCTTTGCAGCGCTGTGTTTAGAGCCAAAGTCTGAAGGACACTTTGAGTTACAGACCTGTATTCTTGGTTAAATATCTGCCAAGTGATTAGACCAAGTCTGAATTCTAACACGATGTGAACACAAAACAAGTAACGTAACTAAACCAATATGCAATTCAACTTGGGGGGGGGGCAGGGAGAAAGCTTAATTCACACAAAAAGAGATCTGCTAAATTAAAAAGAGCAGTTAGGGAGTGGATTGACAGAGCTAAGTCTTAATATCAATAATGTCTTGCTGCTGCTGCAGTGCCGGTCAAACAAGCTCTCAATTAAACAATACAAAATAAGGGGAAGAGAAGAAAAGTGCAGTGAGAAAAAGAAAGAGTTAGCAAAGAGTGTTTGTTTTGCTAACAGTTGAAGATATTACATCTAACAGCATTAAACAAAATGAAAGTACTTGAGACAGTACTTGTGAGGCTACTGAACAGGCTCAGCAGAACTGGCTGGTCTCCACAAGAGAGGACAGTGATAATGCACCACAGTATAACGCACGCTTTATTCTCACCGACATAATGAACACATTCTATTTTACTGCTACAAAAGCCAGCTGCCTTCCCCAGGATTGAAGAAAGCACAAAACAACAGCATTTCATAAACACCGAAGAGAAGCATTTTAAACTATTTTTCACATGGCTTTTCACTGCAAATTAAAAGTATTTTCTTACCACAATCGAGCAGAAATAAATGCCATTTGGACAACAAACAACGCTTTTATGCCAAAAAATAAACAATATCCAAAGCAGAATACGCCTTTAAGCTTTGAAATCATGCCTCTCTCACACTATGCATAGGACTGTAACAAAAAGAGAGGATTAGAAAGCGCCAGCATCCTTAAAGACAGATACGAGACCTTAGCACAGCACCCGTGGGTGCGCCGGAGGGAGAGCTGTTCCCAGGACAGCGACGCGGGGGAGAATCCCGCCTCCCTCCTACACCTAAAAGGACGGCTTTAGATAAAGGAGCGGAGGTTTGTGCAAGAGACCGACCACGTGCTCCGGAAAGACGCAGAAC